ACTAAAAACACTGAATAGTTGTAGCAGTTTCCATCCTTAAAAAATGCTACTGGCTTTCTCCCACACTGCTGGGCCCCAGACTATAGCGAACCGTCCTCGGGGGGCTGCAAGTCAAGGCTTGCTGCTTACGTTAGCCGTCCAGCCTTGTTTCTCTGACTTAGAAAGCTCCCACCTAAGCTGGATAAAGGACCAATGTAATGTAAAAAAGCTTTCTGGATCATGAACAGAAAGCTGAAAACATTGACCAAGGCGACCGTGATACGGCAGCCTTACTGAATAACAATGACATGATTGTCTCCCTGAGTTTGAACATTGTTGGAACATTTGGGATAATTACCCCCATGTAAGATATACTAACATCGACTACAAATAATATCGAACATTAGCTTGGTGGATTTTTAACGCTATTCAGTTATAGGATAGTAACCCAAGGCAAATGCATCAAAAAATGTAACAAATTAACAAAGTAAAGAAAGAGTTGTGAAATTATGTACTTGATTTAGTAATTATCGGTTTTAATCAGTGGGTCTGTTTGAGGAGACCTCTGTGGATAATTGGGCTCCCCCTGAACCATGAACACTGAAGAAATCCTAACCGGGAGAAGCTGACTGACTGCTATGACAGTAATGGTGGTAAAGACAACAAATCCCATGATACCACGCTACTTCAAACTTCGTCTTTTGTTATTGACCGCCTAGCAACAGAAATTACATATTGTACGTTTAAGACAGATAAGAACAAAAAACAATGTCATTTCTGCCTTTAATAAATACCATTTCCCATAACCCCAACAACTTTTCCAACAACCACCAACTGGTTTGGTAAAAATAAACCCTTAATTCACAGAGTTAGATGTGAAAATATGTGTGAAAAGGGCTCAATCATTCTTTGCTCAGGACCCCATGACTCCACTATATCTTTACATAGCATATAGTTGTCTGCTCTCATGTTAATGTCTTATATAACCTTAAAACAACGCCATCATGACCAAACAGGTAAGTCAACAACAGAGATTATAGCTAAAACGTAATAAATTACCTCTGAAGAGATAGTTGGTGGATATAATGGAATGAAGAGAGAAATCAAATGATGATGATGTAACTACCCAGGCTGATACATTTTTACAGGAGCTGTAATTTTTTTGGTATGCTAATAAATTAAATGTTGTTTAACAACAGATGATCCCTTCAGATCAGGGGATGAGGCAGCTCTCAGGTCAGCAAGAGCTGATCTCTCCCAAACCATCAGAGATGAAAACAGGCCAACGCACAAAAAAAATCTGTAGTCCTTTCTGTGACAGGGCATGCAGGTCATAACTGGCTATAAAACCACACCACAGGCCGATGTCAGTGATGCCTCCCTTCCTGACAGGCTGAAATATTTCCATGCCCGCTTTAAAGCTGCAGATAACATGCCGGGAGGAAAACCTGGGACTCTAGCCAAAGCGAAACCTAGAAAATCTACAGGACTGAACAACATAAATGGCCATGAATCAGCTGTACCCAGCCTCAACGACTACCACCCTGCCACACGGACCTTTGTTATCACAAAGTGCTTCCAGTCCTCAGATAGTGGCATATCATTAGCACTCCACAGTACCCTGTCCCACCTGGAGCCATCATGCTGGGTGCCCCCCAGGGCTGTGTGCTTGGCCTGCTGCTGTTTACTCTGCTGACCCATGACTGTTCAGCCAAATCCAGCTCAAACCATATTCTTAATTGTTTGCTGATGACACAGAAGTGGTGGGTGTAATCAGCATACCGGGAGAAGGTGGAACAGCTTGTGGCCTGGTGCAAAGACAACAATCTGTCTCTTAATGTTGATAACATAATGTTGGACTTCATCAGCCTGACCAAATAGCACCAAATTACTGCGTGTTCCTTTGTTCTCAAGTCTCTCTTAGAAAAAGATCTTGATCTCAAATAGTATTTGGTGGACAAAATCCTTTAAATCTACATGACATGACATAGACTGATAGTTTGTGCGTGTGTGTGTGGGTACCTGCTCGATGATTTGTCGGATGGTGTTCAATCGAACCACTCCTGAGGACTTCTCAGAGCCGGCGTCTTTCGGCTCGGTTTCTAACATAATAACACAGAAGTCATGGAAAGGTCAGAAACAATACTAGGACATCTACTCAGGAAGGTAGGAAGAGATCCAAATACATGAACAGAGAGAGGCTGGCACACACTTACTGGCAATAACAAACAGGTCGGGCATCTCAGAGGCCAGTTTCTCGTTAGCAGCATCAGCGATGGCGCCGAACAGCACAACAGGACGCCGGAAACCAGCTGCAATGACACCATGTGGTTACAATGCTGCTCACAGTTTATAACATTTACAGCATTTACATACTGTAACCTGTGGACATCAACATACACACACTGATATGATTTCAAGTCTGTTCTACTGAAAGTCAAACAACTTAAACAGAACCTGACCAGAACCTGATGTCAATGTCAATACTTGAATTTAAAAAATCATATCACAAAATATTTTGCTCTAATTCATTTTTTACTGTTTCATAGCCTCCAGAGTGTGTCTACACTACACAAAAAAGTCAGACTCATTTGTCTTTCTCAGTCCAGAACAAAAATCTTAACTCAGTAAGAACACAATTCATACTTTCTAAACCCTTATCACGAAACATCAGGTTTCAGGTGTAACTCAATACATTTTCATAAACATACTCCACCCACCTTCCCTGAGCACCACTCGTTCGTACGCTGGGAAGCGGGTGGCGAGGGTCTGACTGCTCAGGTTTTCTCTGCTCTTCCTCAAGTCCTTCCTCTTCAGAGAACGTTGGCCTCGCAACCGCCAGAAGTCGGCTCGATCGCCCGCAACAACTTTATGGGAGCTCTGGACGCTGGCCATCTGCTCCGCTCTATCAAGATAAATACACCTGTCACTAATCCATCCATTTTTCATGCGCATGTTCATGTGTAAAACCATTTGTGAGACATTGTAGAGCACCAGACTGTACATGCAGATCTGAACTGTCTGAATATCTGGATGTGTCTCTGATTTGGCATATTTATCATTATATTATGTGGTCTAGGCTCAAATACAATGTGTCTTGGACATTGGAACTATTTCAATACCATTGCTTAGTGTGTCCACACACAAAATACAGTATATCTTCCACAGTGTTTTGCTTTGTTGCTGTATTCTACAAGGTTTTGTGTATGACTGTTTTAGAAGTGGGCAGCCCAGAAAGTGGTCCATGGTCTGTGGTTCTGTTTTAGGGTTAGCTTGCATCATCTGGTTCCTGATCACAATCGGTAAGGCATTTTCAGTCCACCCATCTCAAATCCGAGTTGGGAGGTAGAGTATCTGATATTATATGGACTATGGGAGGCATGCTTGACAGGCGGTTGGAAAGCCTTTATCTTACTTAGCTACTGCTTGAACAAATTCTGCTTGCAGGCATTTTAAAGAACACACTAATTTCCCCACAGTGTGAATGTATGGTACACTCAAAACACACAAGAATCATACTAAAGCATACAACTGGGACACATGCTGTCTCATACCAGTGATTTACTCAGCCTCTGGGCTGTGGACCTGTAATTACAGTAACCCTCTTGGGCCAATTAGTGTAATGTCACTGGAGTGCAGCAGTGCTGTGCATATTTCTTCCTCATTTTGTGCCATTGAAAATAGGCCTGCTAATGAGAGATTCTGAGGACAAGTGGAACAAAACAGCATGCATAATGTGGAGGAGGAAGAGCAGTCTGATGACAGTGAGGACAGCGAAGAGAATGATAAGACATTTAAAAAGAGGCTGGATAAAACGGGAGAGTGATGGTGGAGGAAAAGATAAGAGAGGAGGTGAAAGGATGAGGGGAATAATGGTTGGCTGGACATACGTCTGATGTGACATCTGGTCTTTTAAGATAACCAGCAGCTGGCCTGTGGCCAGAACAGGCCTATCTGATCCTCTGTCTGAAAGCTTACCAGGTTTTTCAGAGATCCGGGCCATTTAAGTTCCTTTACTGCAGTCCACAGAATTTTGATACAGATCAAGTAAACACTGTAACTGTCACCTGCTTATCTTTCACACAATCTGCAAATGTACTGGCAGTGGGGCTGAATTTTTATCCGAAGACTGGGTTGAGAAACATTTCCACTGTATGTGAGGTGATAATTCATGATATTATACTCATTAATATATTCTAGAGCTCCAAGTCCAGACCAAGGACCCCATCTGGACCACACTGCAAATCAGTGTTTTGACGGACATGTATTCATGGGCCCCTTAACACAGGACCAGCTGATCGCCCTACCTGCTCTTGTTGGGGATGATGCCCTTCTCCAGCAGCTGCTTTTCCTTGCCAACGCGTATTGCCAGCCAGTTGCCGAGCTTGCCGTCATACAGGGTGTCCACCACCTTGAAGATGTCCCCACGGCTGAATGCCAGGCTCTGAGGAGTCTCCTTATCATACTCAAAGTGTGTCCGGATGAAGAAAGAGTCTCCACGCCCCGACACCAAGATATCATTATAGACTAGACAGCCAAAAAAGTGAGAGAAAAAGAAAAGGAGGAATTAAAAAGAGTGAGGATGGGAAGAGGGGAGGCAGCAGAAGAGCAGTAACATATTAGAATGAGGTTATCATATTTTTGTCTGATACTGCTGGACTGCTGGCACCCTGAAGCAGCTATGTCAGACCATGGCATGAACTTATTAATACATAAAAAAATCACAGTACACATAAAAAAAATACTCCGGGTGCAAGTGAAATTACATTATTCCACTTGTCTAAACCTATTAATACACCCCCTTTTGGGGTGGTTTGCCTAAATTAAACAAAGCGGCTATTTTTGACCATTTTACATACATATTATTGTACTTGATGCAAGAGTTAATGGGAGTCCCACCACAGTTGTTGGATTTCTCCCACTGATACTGTAGCACCACAACAATAGACTGGCTGTATTGTACTTGTGTTTTATAATTATAACTATGTTTATATTTTTTCATTTACTTTGTGATAAAGATGGGAAGGTTCACCTCCTCTTGTGACTGAATAGGAGACTACAGTGAAGCAGTCACTGTCTTTATGTTCTTTCATTTACTGTGATAGAGACAGTGATACTAGTGACATTAGATATTTTTCCTATTGTCATCAAATCCCATGTGCACAGTCAAACTAACAAAGAATGTATCTTATTAACAAGTATTGTGTATCTATTGAAGCCTGAAGCCTTCCTCCCCTGTGCCATAGAGCCCCATTGTTGGCAAAAAACTATTAAAAACACACTGAGCCACACTGTTGCACACAGTGGTTTTTTTTTTTGACTCAATCCAACATACACTGTCCTGCTGCCTAAAATATTTACAAGAATATTACATTTTATTTATTGATTATTTATTTATTCCGCTGCTGAAAATAGTCCCCAACAAATGCACTATTTCCTCATACTTTCAGATGTCGGTATCCTCCTTTACTATCTCTTTATTTATGATTACTTGTCTTCATGGTACCAATGTTCCACACTTAAGGTTTATGTGATGACAACTGAGTTTCTTCCTGTTCATGTTCACATAAAGACCATTAGGTGCAGCAGAAAGCTCAAAAGAACTAGTACGTAGAAGTTACAATGTAGATTGTAACATGCACTGTTCTCAAAGGTCAAGAATGAACTTCCATGCTAAAATTTCCAGTCTTATTTGCAAAATCAAAACAAAATGCACTTATTTGTCTGACTGTTGTATGGAAATACACTTTACAGCCTGCTCCAGGCTCTTGTGAGGCTTCCTGAGTTGATATGTGTAGTCCGACAAAGCACTGACCCAAAAGGACGAACAGAGGCAACAGTCATACTGGCTACAGTCCACTGCTGCCAAGGCTGGCTGGCAGCGAATACAGGGCTTCATACACACTGTGGATTCACATTCAGTTTTAATAACACACTCACACTAATAAAAATATATAAAACAAAGGGTTCCCCTTGTATAACCTTATTCTATCTGAGTGCTCCTTCAGAACCTTCAAAGACTACCAAACTCATGTGAGTAGTGTATTGTTGTACAATTGTGTATTCTTGTGCTATCATACATGTTTTAACAATTCTCTAAAAAGTGTTCTGGCAAATAAATCTTCATATAAACACCAGTTGTAGCAATAAACATCAGCCTGATTGAACAAATGTTCTGTGAATGTCCACCACGTGTTACCAGGACTGGGTTGAGCATTTGTAAATCCATTAAAAAAGAACTTTACAAAATCAGGTTGCACAATTAAACCTTAAAGGAAGAGGTCAACATTATGGAAAATATGCTTTGTCACTCTCTTGCCGAGAGATAAATAAGACTATTTACTTAGCAGGAAACAATGAACAGAATCTTAAATTAAATATAATCAGCACTGCCTGGTTTGACAGTTTAATTAGATTTTTGTGTGGTGCGCAGGCAGACTCACTGAGAATGACTTGTCAATCATAAGGTAGCCACGCCCTAAAGCATACCCTGCTTTATCATCCATTTTACTCTAAATTGGACCATAATTTACTAAAAGGAACATCATGCAGTATGGAAGAAGACTTGAAACTAGCGATTATGACCATAAATTAGGAAACAGTTTACCAAGCTAATAAATCAAGTGAGAAATAGCATCATCAACTTTTTTTTGCTGTCACCTGCTGGCCATTACATAGACTGCATGTTTAAGACAGTTTGCATTGGCATTACTTCACAGACCTGGACGCTCTGTCCACTACACTCTATATTTACTGTCAATGGGTGTGCCCCAAGGTAATGTCCTGGGTCATATTTTTTTCTTCCCCTTGGGCAGATCATTTGTAGATTTAGGGGTATTACTTAAATCTAACCTGAAAATCAGCCACAATTCTTTACTATACATATCAAACCATACAGTTACCACCCTGACCTTTCTAATCTCAACCACTACTATTTTTATGTGAGGACCTGCCAACTCTCTGATAACCTTAAATGTCCTCTCAACAGGAGTCATACAGTGTTCATGTCAGGTCAGTGCTTTGCTTCATTGTGTGATGTGTTTCGCTTCATAAATAGATTTTTCCAATAAAAATGGCAAAGCCCTTTTTTTCAAAGCCACAAGCTCAAGGGGCCAATGTGCTCATTACATAACACGGTTTGTGTTGCTCTCTCTCATCCGATGTGTTCTTGAGCGGATCTGTGTGAGTCCATGTGTGTCACGGTTGGTTGAACCAAAACTAGCCTGATCTGGTCTAAAACCCTTGGGGGACCAAGCTGGTACCTCCCTCATTAAATGGAAACATCAGAGAGAGAAAGAGAGATGGGGGGAGAGAGAGACTATGGTCCTGGGGTGCGAGTGTGCCAGCTGGCAGGGCATTGTGGTTAAGTACACTATGTTCTGGTATACTCCACAAGTTGCTGATAAGCCTACAACTTCATCACTTAAGACTAGACTGCTCCGTCATTCTAGCATTTCAAGTCACAGCACATTCCATCACTGCTAAATCATTAAGTACAGGCTCAGGCTAAGACATGCAAACATGCTGCACTTGAAAGATAGAAGGATATGTTATTTTGTGTTTTTCTTATTGTCAAAAAGCCCATAAAAAGCCACAAACCTACAGTTTATTAGTCTGTCACTAAATAAAATAAATAATATAGGAAGTTGGTAAGTTTGTAAGTATTGATGAACTTTACTAGAAAGAAATCAATGAAAAGAGAAAGGAGTGTTTGTTTTTGTTGTGTTAACAATAGTAATGTTCTAGGGGGCATAAAATAGGAAGGGTTTATCTTCTGAGGAGCATGAATATGCTCATTAAAGTTCATAATAATAGACTAGAAAGGTTTTGGCCTAGTGTTGGTACCGAATGCCAGGCTGTTCATTTTATAGTTGAATCAAAGTTGTGTTATTGGTTTAATTGTGTTCTTTAATATATGTGTAATTAATGTGAGAAATCTAACTCTGACTATGCTTCTGTGTCTTTTGTTTTCAGGAGGGAATGTTTTACCGTCAGGTTTGCTCTGGGCGAGGATGGTGACCACTTCCCCTTTAGGAATCTCCAACAGGAAGAGCACTGCTTCTTCTCTCACTACACCTTGAAAATCAACGTTGTTCACCTTTAAGAGACAAACAAAGTGCAAAATAATTAGGACTGTTTGTTATTAAAATAACATATAACAATAATATTTTTCTGTACACTCACATTCACATAGTAGTTTGAACGTCAGCTTCTCTGAGCTTTTTTATGTTCACATAATAGTAAGGAAATAAGTTCTGTCTGGACTGGCTACCTTTAGGATTTGGTCTCCGACGCGCAGGCCCTCTTCCTCAGCAGGACTGCCCTCTTGAACACTAGCAATAAAGATGCCAACATCATTTCCTCCTGCCAGCCTCAGGCCAACACTGTCTCCCTTCTGGAAATTCACCATCACTGTGTTTGGCCTGCAAGAGGGGAAATACATGTTGCCATTAACAATATGGGCACAAACATGACACAAACCTGGCCCTCGCTAATGTTAAATATTCATGAGTTCAGTGGAATGTGTAATCATTTGCACATATTTCTCCTCCCATTGCATAAATTATCTGCTAAACTGCAACTCAAGCCTAGTGCACATGATTGATGGGGCAGTATGTATTATGTCTATGTCTGAAAAACTGCTGCAATGGTCTCAGTACATGTGTTTCCGGCTGGGTTTACTTACTGTTATTCAATTATTTTGTTAATTACCCATCCACATAGTAGTCGCAGATTACAACCCCATTACTACATCTGCCTGTTCCAACTATGGTGGCTGCGAAACTTGGAAAAAAATGTGGAAGACCCTATCTACAGCCAGTGTTTAGTTTGTCTGTTCTGGGCTGCTGTAGAAACATGGTGGTTCAATGAGGCAGACTTTGTAGAAGAGGACCAGCTCCCTCTGTAGATAAAAACAGTTCATTCTAAGGTAACAAAAACACAGTGATTCTTATTTTCAGGTGATTATAGATAAATGAAAACATACCTATGAATATTATGTTCCATTTCTGACAATAGGTCCTCCTAAATGTTACACACTGGACCTTTGAGGCATTTAATTACATTTTGCTGATAATACAACTGTGGAATGTAATGTAAAAGGGCTGTAGGTGAAATTGATATTATGATAAATACCAGTAAATATATTATCTGTTTATAGCAGGAAGGAGGGACTGGGAGACTATGTTACTGAACACTCTATATCAGTGATGGCTGTCAGAATTTCGAGCTATTTAACACTTATTTTAACAAATAAATATTGCTTAAAGCATCTTTAAGTAAGATTTGGAATCCAGGACTTTTACTTCTTTTACTTAAAAGGTCCAGTGTGTAACATTCAGGAGGATCTATTGGCAGAAATGGAATATAATATCTTTACCAATGTACAATGGACTGTACTTATATTATAGCGGCCATTTCTCTAGTCTTTTCGACCACATTTATCAATTGCGCTGTACACCTACATGGCCACACTCTTCACCCACCATTACACACACACATTTTACCATCCTGAGCCACACAATAGGTATCGTTTTTCCACTTTAGTGTAATAACTCATGTGCAAAAATATGAAAATCCATTGTGTTTTTGGCTACCATTAGAATCAGAAATACAAGACCGTTTTATTCTACCTCAGAGGTGAGCTGGTCCTCACTTCTCATAGAGAAAGTCCATCCATCGTTGAACTTCCGCCATGTTTCTACAGTGTAGCCCAGAACGTGACCAAACCAAACCACTGATAAGAAACTAGGCTCGTAAACTGTCCTTTTTTCACTAACTTTCATGCGCCACTGCTAAGTAGGGGATGGGGTAAAAATATCGAATACGGCGAATATAGTCTAATCAATACTTTGCCCGACCCGATTATAATTATCGATTTTTCAAACTACAAACGATCGATTTTTTTTTTAAGAATAGTTTATTCAGTGCATTTTTATGACCGCAGTTGTGATTACATGTAACGACTTACCGTAACCTCCACTTCCATTTAAGATCCGGCAGCCGAAAACGAGCGTACTCCTGCTTGCGGCGCCATGTATTCTTCTGGTATTAGAGAGAGTGGCCCTGAGGACTTTCTCAAAATGATGTTCAGATAGATAACGCCGCCGCAATTAAAGCCTGACGTTTGGAAGCACATTTGGCTTCAAAGTTAAGAAAGATAGCAAGAACAACAAAGCTGGGACAAAGAGAGTGCCGTTTGTAAGCTAACTGTCCTTCCGTCCGATGTGAAATAATTGGTGGGAACAACAACGACTTGCGTGTTCACTTGGCAAGAACACCCCACGCCGAGATATTAGCCGAGAAGCAGCCACCAAAGGGATTAAGCCAAAACCAGACTACGCTGCTGGACAACTTCATACCCTCGACAAGCATGTATGTAATAATATGAATGCACATAGGCATTTTATTTTCATATGACCTGTTCAGTGTTCAAACAGTTACACAATAGGAGAAACATTATTATTATTATTTTATTATT